ATGTATGATTTCCATAATTAAACAACAAGCCAAAACCTTGTTTGTGTCAAACTAAATAATTTAAATTTAAAGAGAATGTTGAGTTGGAAAGCACTATTAAGACTCAAATCAACCTAATAAACTGGATTGATTCAATTGTATAAATATTTCTAAGCAACAGTTTTATTTTTTAAAATTATAAAATTATGAATTTGTATTTGCCCAAACATAATTCCTGACTATAATACTGCACAACAATAAACCTATATCCACAAATATAACCAAATGCTAACAAATATTTATATCATTCTGTTAAGAAAAGTACACTTACAAAGAGAAGTTTATGCATATGTTCATTCAATTACATCAGTAGAACATGCCCAAACAGATACATATGCAAACAAACACTGATATGTCAGAGTGATATTTTCAGAAGGCTGTTAGTAATGTAAAAAAAGAGAGAATGCATCTCATTATCTCAAATGTAATGTTTTCAAAGAGTATTCAACCATCAGCAGCAGCAAAATTTATTGAAAATCAAATGGCATTGTTAAAATGAAAAACTAGCAACAAAATGGATGTCACAGTTTCTTTAGCTGCTAAGAAACTTGACAGCTAGACCTATTCAGAGATGTTACCAAAAGAGATCAACCAATCACTAACAAAGATATTCAATGATATCATCAAGAAATCAGCCAATCACAATGCAAGCTAGTCAGTTGTAAGTATCTGCCTGCTTTCTTATTCAACTGTTTGTTACATATATTATAGTTATATATGAACTACAACTTTAAAAAAAAAATAAGTTTGCTTTTTGTATTCCACTAATATCTTGCAATCACAAAGTTAACAAAAATAACATTAAAAGAGAAAATACTGTACATAAAAAAGGTAATTTATTTAAAAAATAAATTGCTAACACCCTAAGGAAATGTATCCACTATGGGGAAAAAATAATCATAGAAATGAAATGGAAAAGTTCTGATTGAGATCAATATTTTTTTTCATATTTTGTCTAAGTTTTACAAGAATATTCTTAGCTCTTATACTTTTGTGTATGCTTTGCAGCAAAGTGGATGCAGCTCCAAAAAAAATAAAATAAAATAAAATAAACAATAGATTACAGTAGAATGACACAGACAGACATAAAAATGGCAAGAAAGACATGTTGAAAGTAGCTATTGTACAAATCTAAGTTCATATTGCAAATGCTAATACAGGGTAAAAATGCTAACAAAAATATAGAATGGAAAACAAGTTGGAAGACATCATGACAATGTTTTTTATGAAGTGCTAAATAAGTTTTTTTTTTTTTTACCCAAATGTGTACATGCAAAATCTGGCAGCTTCCAGCTAGAATTTTGTGACAGGTAATTAGTAAAAACCTTTACATTGCTAAATTAACCTTAATTGAAGGTTCATTCTCCAAACTGACGCTGTTATCGCATTTGTGTAGAAAAAACAAAGAATGTTACAGGTGGATGATTTTATTACCTTGATAAAAAAAAAAGAAAAGCATTCAGTTGCAAGTTTGGAAATGGCATTCATCTTTGAGTAGTTGGCAAGTTTGTTTTTTTTTGTTTTTTTTTATGTGAGTAGGGAGGATTATCTAATTTCTATGCAGAAAACAAGATTTTGTGCATATGTGTAAGCTGCTATTTTCTTTTATGCTAGATTTTTGTTCCCTTTTATGAAGCTATCCTCAATCTGTACAATAATTGTGCCCAAATTGAGTTCAAGATCTTTTTCTATTTGATAAGCAACTAACAAATGCTTTTTGATAAATCATTATAATTTCTTTTTGGTGTGAGAAGCTGGAATGATACAAAATATGCAATTCACTAAAATACATCATAACTATCATCACACATTATACCAAAAACAATGTAGAAATGCTTACCACACCATAGCAATTATAAATATTTAATACTTGGCCATACTTATATTTATGACGATAGAAAATACTGCTTTAGAAATATTAAAAGAAAATAACCAATGTGTTAGTATAAAATATTATCAAGAAAATATATAACAATGGCTCTTTATTCAAAATATTTCTTTTACCTGTTTCTAAATATTTATTGGTTTTAACAGAATGATTCAAATATGTCCTTCAGCATACATTAAGTGAATGTTGCATCATATCAAAGTGAATAAAAAAGAAAGAAAAGAATACGAACAAGATTTGAAAATAAATGTACACTTGAGAAGGAAGACCAAAGAACATGTCAGCCAAAATGTGTGTTCTATCAGACTCCTCATTGCCAATATATCAGACCTTAGAATCCTCAAAACAATATTCTAATTGTTTGCAGTTCTAAGCAGGAAAAAAACAGTAGCAAAAAAAAAAAGACAACTGCTTAGAGCAACCCATTTACAACAACACATGTAACACAGGCAATTCCATATTTTATATATGGGGATGTTCTCTATTGACAGCATTCCTTGCCTTATAGCTATCCAACATTTCCAATTTTTAATAGCAGTAACATCCAGCTGCATTTCAATTTGAATAGTTGTTCTACACTTGACACATCTTATTCTAATTTGATTGATGTGCTTTTAGTAATCTGAACTTTACTGAATAATAGGATTTTCAATATTTCCAGCTAACCTTTTTACTTTTCCAGGTCTCACTCTACTACTAAATCTTTGTGCTTTTGGAATTTGCCTTATGTGTTTCAACTTGAGGAATCTACAGTAAGCAAATAGGCAATAAAGAGTTTACGATACAAGACTAGTGGTGAGATTTGGGATTTACATAAAACAAATTAAAGAGTTGTTGAAATAAATGCTATAACAAAAAAGATTTAAGTTAAAACTTCATCAAAAATAAAATTAAATCTATACATCAGACACAATAGTGAACTCTATAACTGAGCTCAAATATGAGCTGGAAAACATTGTAATATTCAAAGTAGGGATCAGATGTAATTAAGACATTTTTAAAAATGAATGCAAAGGCTAAGAATTTATTAAAAAATTAAATATTGCAGTGTTTAAAACTTTTTAAAATTTTATTCTCTACCACATACATTGTGATTTTAATATGGCTGATAAAATACTGTGACCTAACCAGAATTTGCCTCACTCCATACTTTATATAAAGGGTTACCCTCTATAGTATTGTTAGTGTTTCCAGTTTAACAATTTAATAGTAAAAAACTAACTTTGCTGCACTAAGAAAAATTTTGAATAATGAAAATATTTAATCTGAGAAAACAATTACTAATGACTTCTTCCAGAGTCAAATGTAGTGCCAATTGTTCAAGCACTGTTAAGCCATTTGTTCAACCTAATTAGATACAAGTCTCACTTGTAAATGTTGGTTTCGTGTTCCTTAATGAAATTATGTATCCAACTTATTTATAAATCAGGTCAGATTTAATCATAGTGGTCAATGTGATCTTGTGTACAATCTTAAGTCTATGTAGCAAACATAATTACAGAAAAAAATATTTAGCTACACTGAATCCACAGAGCCTTCACTTCTAAGACAATTCCCTAAAATCAGATAAGAAATTAAACTTCATTTCTTGTACTACCATGTTCTTTGATTAATACAGATGCATTTCATGTTAATTCTTTTATTGAATGAAAATGTCAATCACATTAAATCATTGATTCTTGTTATCACTTCCTCTGTAATGCCAACATCAGACATCTTTTAATTAAGTCTTCAAATAACAAGGCTTTTTACCTTAATCAGACAACTAACACTTAACACAAATTATCAAGCTCAAATAATTTGGTACAAACTGTTTTGATGGAGAGTCTGGTTTTAGTCATTATTCTATTGTTCTACAGTTGGACTGATAAAGAAATCAACATTTGGAGAATCAAATGTAAATTTGCTTCTCCTTTTTAAATGAATGTAAGAAAAGAAGCATTGTCTATCTATGTTGAAATTAACAATGGTTTAATCAAAATTGATAATTCTCAGTTAGGTGTGTCATTCACTAATAAATAGTGGACTTGAAATTATATGAAAGCATTTAATCTATAAATAAAAACAAATGATGTGTAAACACATCTCACCAACAATTTTAGAATGGTGATAAAGTAAAGTAATAGATAAATAACTTAGGTAGCACTAAATTCTTTCTATGCAATCAAATACAAATTGATTTGCACCCTTGCACATACTTTTTAAAAAGTGCACTGAATCATTAATCAAATTTATTGATTATGTTTGATTGGTTTGCATTTTATTGTGATATCAACTGCAGAGGAAATTGCTTGAATAAAAAAAGATCTTGTTTCCAACTGTTTTAAAGAAAACAAAAACATCTATTTTCATTTTTTATGAGTCAATTTTTTTTTTTTAAGATTAACAAACAAAATAAAAATTTATTTTGTGGTGTGTCCTTGAATTTTTTTAAATTAAAAATAATTTTGTTATCCTGAAAATGCAATATTTGTATATAAATGAAGTGTATATAAAAGTTTCCTTATAATGTAATGAATGTATTTAAACTTGCATGTATAATTCCAGAGATTGAACTTTTAATAGATAACAAAAGAAAAAAATAAATAAAAATAAAAAAATATATATATATATATATACATACACAAACACACACAAACACACACATACATACATACATACACACATACATACATACATACATAGTAACTAATTCAATACAAATGTATGCATTTGTTTTAACTTAAAATCTTTAAAAAAATAAAAATCAAGATATTTCTTTAAAAATTTATTGATTTACCATTTTATTTCTCACTCATTTCATTTCTGGGGCTGATTTTTTTTTTTTTTTTATTAATGATAACACTGATCAGTTGATTTTTTTTTAAAGATGCCCTTCAAGAATTTTCCAGATGGAAGTAAATATACATTGTCAAATAATCAAACACAATATTTTTTTATTAAAGTGAGTAATTCTAATGACATTCACATATGCATCATATTTTAAACTCTTTAGTAATTTTGAAGATGCATATAATTTTTTTTTATTATCTGTGAAGAAAAACTGAGGAAAAAAAAACAAAAAAAAACTTACCTTAATCTTTATTTCTGTTTTTTCAGCAAAATCTTCAATGCATAAATGTCCCTGATTAACAATATTGCTGTCAAAAACATCCAATAAACACTTAATTCTTTCACAGTGATCTTCAAAAGAATCTTGGCTTTTATATGATGATATGCAGTGACTATCTTTGGTGAATGTTGCTGTGTTTAAGACTGGTGCCATTGAAACTTCTACAGGATCATATTGCTGGTGTAAAGCTTGTTTTTCCTACAAAAAAAAGAAAATTAGACTTAATGAGTAAAATTAAAAAAAATATATATAAACACATCAAAGTCATCATTTCTTTTTCATAATACAAAGTAAATATCAGAAACTTACCTTTTTGATGGCATACAACTGGAAACATGTAAAGTTTTTAAAATGGACTTTAAAGTCCATTTTAAAAACTTTACATGTTTCTTTAAAGATTTTATACATATATTTTGTCAAATTGACAATTAAAATTAAAATTTTGATTTTAATCAAGAGGAGAGGATTTAATAGAAAATATAGTGTACCTATGCATCTAGACAGATAGAAAACTAAGTTTACAGGAAATAAATGAATAAATTTGTACTAATGACCAATTCTATCATGCTAAATAATACATATAATGCCTACTTTATAAAAAGCATATTTTAATGTAATACTGAACATCTTTCCATAAAACATGCCTATTTAAACCAGAGAGAAATATTAAAAATATCATTTTATCTTTAATTAAATAAACAGCAAAATTAAATGATGTAAAGAAAGTGTTTGAAGGTAGATCAATAAGTCTGTAACCTACCACATAATTATTAATTCAATTTAAATATGAAATGTATAAATTTCAATCTAGGTGCATTGTCAAAAAATAAAAAAACATAATAATAATGGTGAAAAATAAATTTTGTAATGTAAAATAAGTGCTTTGTTTTTATAATCAAACTGAAGCATGTATGTGCATGTATAAATCAATTTTTTCTAGTGATAAATAATACAAGTTATATTAATCAAATTTGAATATTATATTGTTTATATTATATAAATATTATATTATTATATATATTATTTATTTATTGAATATTAAATATTTGAATCTGTGAAGTACTTGATAATAATTCATCATGAGTGTGATTGCCTTAGAATCATTCAAAGGAATTTGACAAGGTGTGATATAAGAGGTTGTTACATAAACTCTCCAGCCATGGCATTTCTAGTAGAATATCTGCAATTATCAAATCCTTCCTATCAGGTTAGGCCCATGAAAATCATTGTTAACTGCCAAGTCTTCTGAGGCCCATGAGATCAATGCAGGCATCCCTCAAGGCTCACTTCTTGGTCCCACTCTCTTTCTACTTTATAGTAATGTTATACTCCATTGCAATTAGATCTCTTTTTGATTCACTCTACATGTCAGCCGGATGTAAATACAAGGAAAACAAAACACAAAATAAGAAAAATTTATTTTCTGCACAGGGGCTCTGAACATCAGATCCGGTCCACAAAACAAATCCCCATAATAAAATGCAATAGCCAATCACAAACTCTCTTGCCAAAAAAAAAAAAAAAATGACCCTGTGGCCCAGATTTGCTTAAAAGAAAGACCCTCATAAATGGCTGACACAGTAACAGGTGTAGAGACCACCTGTCAATACCAACATACTGTTGCCATCACTGCTATGATCACTTTTTTCATCACTACCGTGATCTCAACTAGCTTCACTAATCTCACCTAATATTTCACATATAGAATGTGGCTGATGGACCAGCCACAACACTGCCAGGCTCCTGATGCCACCACTGTGATCCCTAACACCTCAATGTCTTTACTATAGAGTTCCAGCCTTCCCCTGTTGTCACTAACTTGACTACATTTTTGTTGATCTCACATTTGACCAGAACCTAACAGACACATTCAACTCGATTAACCTTCACTATCCATGTTACCACCATGATGACCTACGTTAACCCCTGCCAATGCACCTTACCAGGCAGTTCAGCTTCATATCTCAGTATCACACAACCGCCAGCCTATCAAACACCTCACAGGTGTTGATTTCAACCCTGAAGAAAGGTGTATGTAAACCCACAATCCACTCTAGACCAACTAACACCAATTATAACTGTGACCAACCAACCAAAGAAACCGGTCAACTCCCAACCCTACTGACAAAACCGTTACACTCAAATGCCTTACCAACTTCAACTAAGGAACCATACATGAACAATTTTTGCAACCATTCACACATCTATGTATATATTCTTCACACTTGATCAATAGAAATTGTTGAAACTTTAATCCTTGTCCTTTGCAACCATACACACTTTATAACAGTAATGATCTGCCTTAGAATATTCTCAGACCATTAGTGTGTGTGTGTATATATATATATATATATATATATATGCAGACAATACTACAGTTTATGGGAGCACCACCAAAAATCTAGATGACCAGAGTCTGGCAGCTGATCTCTCCTCTGACCTAGCTCTAACAGTTCAATAGAGGAGGGACTGACTTGTGACATTCCATACTTCCAAAATCAAGCTCATAGCAATTCATCATCAACAAGCAGGTGCTGAGATTTATCCAGCCATAATAAATGGTTGTATTCTAAATGAGGCTCCTTGCTTTGAATGTCTAAAGTTCACACCAGATCTCAAGTGGAATCCATTACTAAAGATGGTGAAAAAAAGAAAGTAACTGACTTCTTCTCTATCTTTACTAGAATTAGATAAGGCCAAAAATGGAGTTGTTAATTTGTTCATTTACTCAAACTTGTTAGATAGGTTATGAGTTTCTTTCTGCTATTCTCCGTGCCTTCAATATGTCCTCTGAATATCAAATTTTGCAAGCCCTCTTTCCTCATTATGTACCCTAAAAATTTCAACTATCTCTTCTTGAGTGTATGAGTGTCCTTTTTGTTTCCATTTTCTCTAAAACTTCATTGCTCACATATTTTGTCCATAGTATTCTTAGCATCTTTCTGTAGAACCACATTTTTGTTGCTTCAAGTCTCTTTTCTTTGTTTCTAATGAACTTTTTCTATTTCTTAATACTTTGCTTAGTTTTGGAAGGCATCTTTTGCTATTCAAATATGTCTTTGGATTTCAGTGTAACACTTTCCATCCACTGTTAAAACACTTTCTAGATATTTAAAATTTGTAACTGTTTGATTTTGATATCTTCAATTTGTAATTTGCATGTTGGGCTGTTCCTTTTACTAACAACCATACATTTTGTCTTTTTGTAATTGATGCTTATTCCTTTCTTCTCACTTTAATTTATTACCTTCTGTAGGAGTTCTTGTAGCTTCCTTTCTCTGTCTGATACCAACAGTCTGTCATCTTTTATGCTGTTAAGATTATGCCCACTAATAACGAATCCTGGTGAGATTTCTAATTCTCTCAGAATTGCCTCACTGAATAAGTTTGGTGAGAAGACACATCCTTGTTTTATACCAGTTTCTATTTTTGTATATTTATTACATTCATTTTCTATTTGTATGCAGGCAGTTTGCCTCCCATATAAGTTCTGGATTATACTTCCCAAATATGTCATGGTTACCTAGCAGTTCTTTGTGATGTACTTTATCAAATCATTTTGCTTAATCTATAACACACAGGTACACATCTTTCTGCATTTGTATTGCTCTTTCTGATATCATTCTGAGCATAAATATTTCATTTCTTCTTCTAGTGTTGTCCTATTTCTGATCTAATTCTGCTGCATGCTACTATTGCTATATCTGAGTTGGTGCTGCCCAATCCTCACTTTCCAGACTTGGTAGAGTTCAATATCATTTACATAACCTCGTAGGCAACCCTATTCAGTAAACTTCTTCTTTGAGTGTCTCTTGGGCCTTGTATTGTGTGAACAACAGTATAAAAAATATTAAGCTGGAATTATTTCTGTATTTTTTCTTTTGAATACACCGGCAAAATAACATTGCGTAATTTAAATGTTTCCATTCCCTCACAATTACACGTACAGCTAATATAGGTGGATTACAGTAAAGGATTATATATAACAGTCAATATGTGCACATGTTCCCAAATAAGAGGTCTATCAACTGAATTTAGATCCCATAAGACACTGTATATTTTCTCCTTGAATATTAACACAAGTCCTTACTCTCACATTTACACAATCATACAGATGGAGAATACCATTCTGTGATATTGCATCTGTTGACATAATATAGAAATAGTTGTAGTGGGGTAACTAAATGGGTGTGCATCATTCCATCATGTCACATATACATTCAAAAGGGACAGGTCTGGCAATTGTTCTGACCAGAGAAAATGTCCAATATTTTGAAGAATATATTAAATAGCAAGGGCATAATGTAGGCACAAACACCAAAGGCACACAAGAGCAAAGTTATGACACTTCACACCATAATGCCAAGGGTTTGGACAACATTTTGTGGGTGTATACATACTGGAAGATGTTGCTCATTAGGCATATATATATATATATATATATATATATATATATATATATATATATATATATATTATATTAAGGTAGGTTCTACTTCCATCACTTAACATTATAGAGTGGCATCAGCTCTCCCAGATGACCCTTTCACAACACCACAGATATGCATGACAGTGTATATATATATGCCTCCATGTGCCAGAATTCTATTTACGCTCTAGCGTAAATAGAATTCTGGCACATGGAGGCATATATTTCTACAGTCCTGCTGCAAGTAAATGATTTCCATCAATCTGTGTTGACACTCCTGAAGCCACATTTACTCTGATCTGTGGACAATCTATTGTATATTACTTCACTCTTACAATGTAGCAATCATGGTTAACAGCAGTACTACATAACTGTCCAGAACCTGATTTACAAGTTTAAGAATATTCATTAGAACATTGTTGCAATCATCAAAGCATCACTGATACATCATGCCCAAAATGTGCAGCAGTTCTCCAAAATGATCATCCAGACTATCAAAGGGCCATAAGCTGACCACTCTCAAATGTTTCTAATTGAACAAAATGAGCAAGTGCACATCTTTATGGTATGATAGCTGCTTGCACTGAACATTACAATAACATTGCTGAAGACTTTAAAGATTTTATCAGAATATCTACTATTCACAAGCATGTATATACTTTACTAGAGCCAAAATCGTCATTGTCCTTGAGGCTGTTGCATTTTATTTACAGTCAGTTTATGATGAAACAAGTTAATACACCTATATTTACCAGATAACTTTCTTATA